AGGAGAATTAACATTGTCAAAATGGCAATACTTCCCAAAGCACTGTATAAATTCAACGCAATCCCTATTACCCATGACATTCTTCAAAGAAATGGAGCAAACACTCCTGAAATTTGTATGGAACAATAAGCCCCCACGAATAGCTAAAGCAATTCTTTGGAAAAAGAAAATGGGAGGAATAAACCTCTCTAACTTCAAACTCTACTACAAGGCAGTAATAATTAAAATAGCATGGTACTGGAACAAAGGCAGAGCTGTAGACTAATGGAACAGGGTTGAATATACCGACATCTCACCCCAAGCGTACGAGCATCTAATCTTCGATAAGGGGGCATGAAAAGTGAAGTGGAGCAAGGAAAGCCTCTTTAACAAATTGTACTGGCAAAACTGGATGGCTACATGCAAAAAAATGGGCTCAGTTCTCTGCCTAACTCCATGTATAAAAGTAAGATCTAAGTGGATTAAAGACCTCAAAATCAGACCGGAATCCATAAGGTACATTGAGGAAAGTTGGCAAAACCCTCCATGACATAGAAGCTAATGGTGTCTTCAAAGATGTCACACCGCTGGCCAAGCAAGTGAAAACAGAGATAGACAAATTGGACTATCTTAAATTAAGAAGCTTCTGCACCTCAAAAGAAACAGTGAACAAAATACAAAGACAGTCCACAGAATGGGAAAGGATATTCGCCGAATACACATCCAAAAACGGGCTGATATCAAGGATATACAAAGTACTGGTTGAACTCCACAAGAAGAAAACATTCAACCCCATCAAAAAATGGGGAGATGAAATGATTAGAAACTTTCACAAAGAAGAAATCTGAATGGCTAAAAGGCACATGAGAAAATGCTTCACATCATTAATCATCAGGGAGATGCAGATCAAAACCACAATGAGATATCATTTCACACCACAGAGACTGGCCCATATCTACAAGAACAAAAGCAACCGGTGCTGGCACGGATGTGGTGAGAAAGGGACACTCCTTCACTGTTGGTGGGAATGTCAACTGGTTCAGCCCTTTTGGAAAACAGTATGGACGATTCTCAAAAAATTAGAAATTGAGCACCCATTTGACCCAGCAGTACCACTCCTGGGAATATATTCCAGAGAGGCAAAATGTATAGTCGAAGTGACATCTGCAATTATTTGTTCATTGCAGCACTCTTTACAATAGCCAGAATCTGGAAAAAACCTGAGTGCCTGAGAACAGATGACTGGTTAAAGAAACTTTGGTACATTTACACAATGGAGTATTATGTAGCTGTTTGAAAAGATGAAGTCATGAAATTTACATACAAGTGGTACTACATGGAAAGTATCATGTTAAGTGAAATGACTCAGAAAGAAAGGGATAGACATAGAAAGAATGCATTCATCTGGGGAACATAAAGTAACAAAATAGGAGACTAACACCCAAGAATGGCCGAGATTAGTACCAGGAATTTTACTCCATGGCTTGGAGGCCAACCACACATGCTAGGGGGAAAGGGAGCTCAGATAGAGAAGGGAACACCAAATAAAGTTGTTCGGAGGATCCTCCCAGGATGGGAGAAGTATGCGAAAAGTAGACTATAGACTAAACATGATTGTCACCCATTGCGATAGCACAGTGGTAGGGCGTTTGCCTTGCACGCAACCAACATGGCCGACCCGAGTTCAATTCCTCCGCCTCTCTCGGAGAGCCCGGCAAGCTACCGAGTGTATCTCGCCTGCATGGCAGAGCCTGGCAAGCTCTCCATGACATATTTGATATGCCAGACACAGTAACAACAAAGTCTTCAATGGAGATGTTACTGGGCCCGCTCGAGCCTCTTTTGCAAACCAAAACACCCAATAAGAGAGAGAGAACAAAAGGGAATGCCCTGCCACAGAGGCAGGGTGGGATGAGGGATGGGAGGGATACTGGGATCCGTGGTGGTGGGAAATGGGCACTCGTGGAGAAATGGGTATTTGATCATTGTATAATTGAAACCCAAGCACAAAAATGTGTAAGTCTGCAACTGTACCTCATGATGTCTCACTATAAAATAAATAAATAAATAAATAATAAAATTTTTTTAAAAAGAATTACTTTGAGCCTGTCATAGAAATTAAAATATTAGGAGGATATCTGAAATTAATGCTGAAGTTTCATGAAGAAAAACTTCTTTTTCTACATCACCTGCTCAGAATGCCTCATAGGTCCACAGATGTGTAATGACAAATTATATAACAATTTTCATTTTAATGACTACAAAATTTTATAAATTTTGAAATTATAAATATGTATATGAATTTATAATATATCTATGAATCAACTCAAGTTTAACTGATACTGTTTTCTCTACCAGTAAAAGCCTGAGACAATTTAGAGAGAACACTCTTCAAACATGACCCATTACACATGAAAATAAACTGACAATAAAGTTGAAATTTCATTTGATAATAAAATTAAATTTAATTTACATGTTCATTATTGTCTAAATTGTATGTTGTCATAAGTTGTGATTTGAAATATTTATTCACAAAATTCCTCCTACCACAGCTATATTGACTAGTCTAGTGCAATATATATTTTTATATATTGCATAACATATTCAGTAAAGGACAAATACTACAGCAACTTTTAAAAATATATTTTGGATATATATTTCACCCAGGTACATTTATGACATTAAGTATGAAACCGATTCTTGAGGATTTGGTGAAGGCATTATGGACAAGCATTTAGTCAATATGAGGAAAACAAAAAGGCCCGAACCTTGTTCAACAGAGAATCACACTTCCTGCCATGAATCTAGATGTTGTGATACATTTTCATCCTGAGTATTGTCCCTTTGATTTAGGACTAAATTAAAATGCTTTATAAATTGGAGCTTTAGGTGATAGAAAAAGTGATCAGAATGTGCTCTTAGAGTGGATTTAGGACTTTGTTTCTATGTGAGAATATCTGATAGCTCCCTCCCTGGTAATGTTAGAAACCCCAGTTAAGGTGGGAACTTGAGGCAGATACTGGCCATTACTTGCCTGTCTAGGAGTAAAAGTCCCCTTCCGTTGACTGTCTACCTTCATCTGTATGACCCTGATTCTGACTTTGTCCCTCATCTTGCAAATTTGACCAAATGTGTCCAAATTATACATTTTATTTTTATAGTAGTAAAAGTGACCTGAGACAAAATTATTTCTGTATGCTATGAGGGGAATAAGGTTGAGAGGTTGCAGAACTACAGAAAGAATTTATTAACTTATTTATGAAACAACTTGGTGAAAGAAAAAAATATATAACACTTCAAAGAGAGATCCAAGCTATTTATGACCCCACAGCCTAATTTTTCTACTCAAAATTATATTTTGCCAGTGTACTACTATGGTGTAACCTTAAAACTTACTTTCTCTAAGTAACCAGTATAAGGAAGACGTTGGATTTTTTTTTTTTTTTTTGCATACCAGACTTCACTGATCTTGATGTATTTTCTTTTTTTTTTTTTCAATTTTTTTTTTTTTATTTATTGAATCACTGTGGGAAAGGTTACAAAGCTTTCAGGTTTATGTCTCAGTCATGCAAATATCAAACACATTTCCCTTTACCAATACTTATTTTTTCCCATGAAGAACCCCAATAAAACCCCACCCCCCACCCCTCCCCGTCCCTGTGAGGCAGATGAATTCTAGTTAACACTCTATCTGCTTTGATTAGATTGTTTCAATAAAAGATTCACCACTATTATTTAGAGTTTCCCCCCCCCCCCCCACCAAATCAGACATGCTGAAAAAGCATTGTGAAGTGATTTGCTTTCTTGATGTATTTTCTAGCCAACAAATCAAAATGTCAAAAGCTAAGTTTTGTGAATGTTGATGACTAACTTGATTGTACAAGGACTGAGTCTGCATACCCATCACATTTTAATGGATTGTGTTAGTAGTGAGATCAACTGCTAGTATAACTGAAAGAGACCCAGCTGCCTGAGGATTTCTTCATTGATTTCAAATGAATTGAAACTTTGATCTATTACAGCATTCAGAGAAAGTCATTATTATACATGGTCTATAGCTACATTTTGCAAATGTCAATTTCTCAGTTATATTAAAATCAATTTTCTTAAATAGCAAAAGGCACTAGAGTGAAAGAGAAACCACTAAGACAATTTTTGTTCTTGAGCATTTTCTGTATTATGAGTCTATTAATTTTCTAACCAGCAGGAAGAGTATTAGGAAAATTCAAATATTATCACAAACAGGATATTAGAAGTCAGCCCTTCAGTATATTTTAAGCTCTTGATAATGCAAGGCTGAGACATTTAAACTTACTAAAATATTTGCTGTAAGAAATTCTGTCCTCTAGTTCTTTATAGGTTTTCTATACCTATTCCTTAGCCTTCAGAGTAGGAACTGAAGAAATTATCTTCCTTTAATTCTTCTTTATTGACGTGCTATCTAAAATAGACATCTACTAAATGTGTTTCAATTTATATTGTATCATTTTTCAGGTGATATAAAAGATTAAATTAATCTCAAATCAGTTTGAGAATATAAAAAGAAATGGATATGGCAGTCGATTATAAAATTCAGTGTCATTAAGCCAGAATATCAGTTTGGGGAAACATGTGATAAATAATAAGAATTTTGTATTATTTGGTAGAAGTAAAATTATTTGATGTTAATCCAATAAAATTCAAAATGAAAAAAATATTATCTAAAGCATCCATTTACCACAGATTAGTTTACTGATACTATTTTAGGTACTATGTTATATATTTAATACTTCATAGACTAAACCTTTAATTTTGTAGCACTTCTGAACAATACTAGAATTAAAAAGGTACTCCATATTTAATATTTAGTGTGTTCAATATATTAAACTTCCTCAATATGAGCACCTTGGCTTATATTGAGGAAGTTTAATATTATATTTTAATAATATTAAATATATTTAATAAGAATAATAAATATTCTCACAGGTTGATTATTTTATGAATTAAATTTATCAGAGGTGCATAATTCTTTTGTATTTCAGCTTATTTCAACACTATAAACTCTATGAGTTTCTGTTCTACTCTACCAGGGACGAAATTGTGATAGGCACTGAGGTAAGTAATTTATCTAGATGGAACCAATTAAGCTGAATCACTTAATGCATGCTGATCAGCATCTGGATCTTTAACTGCTTAAAGCAACCTCTTGTCAAGATTAGTCAAGTGTTAATATAACCAACTAGTAGTTCGCAAAAAGAATAATTACATAAAATGAGCTTTGGATTAAGAAAATAAGCTGTCTTTTGGCATTAAAAGCATTGTTAATCACATATACTTTATGTATTTATGGATTATTTGACAAAGCTCAATTGGATAGAGTACGTATGTCTTTATACAAATAAAATCAGGAAAAGTGAGATAAATTAATTCAGTTAAATCTCTTCTAATTTCCCATCCATTTTCAGTCTACTCATTGTTTAAAGACTAATTCAAATCCCACGTCCTCAATGAAGCAAACCTTTCTTAATTGCAATGCATCTCTAAAAATGGCTTAGGCAAGCTCCTTAAATCTCATTGTATTATTTTATTTCTATTGGTATGTTTCTGCTAAATGTAGACTACTATACTCTATAGTTGTTACATCAATAGGTGCTGCCTTTTAAGTATTTTTTTAAAATTTGTTTCCTATAGATTAATATAAGTAATGTAAAAGTAAAGTAAAGGCCCTCCCGTTGATCGTCGATTTGCTCGAGCGGGCCCAGTAACGTCTCCATTGGAGACTTTGTTGTTACTGTGTCTGACATATCGAATACTCTCGGTAGCTTGCCGGGCTCTCCGAGAGGGGCAGAGGAATCGAACTCGGGTCGGCCATGTTGGCTGCGTGCAAGGCAGACGCCCTACAGCTGTGCTATTAGTAAAAATTCAACTGTAATTGCCTTGAAGCCAAGGGTTGTGTGCTGACTTTCTACTGTAGCAAATTAAGCAATATCAGGCACAGTGGCCCCTCAATAATAGTAGATAGGTGATTCTGTGACAGTTCTACAGTGAATAGTCTACCTACAGACACTTTTGAAAATGCTTACATATAGTCACACCTGTAATTAGTTAAAATGAGCTCCCTGCAGGATAGATCATTTTAAGAAGTCTAAATGTGCTGTTAAAAGTCTTCCTTAATGGTCTTGGATGCTACTATTGTTAGGAGTAACAGGGACAGGAGTGACCATGGTCAGAAGTAAACTGAATGAGATTGTTTATTTTTATAACTTTTCTGACATTAAAACCCAATTGGTAAAAGCCACTCATCTGCTTTACAGAATGCTGTTAATTTGGAATTTATGAATTGCATACTTCATCATTGCAGTAGCTGTTATTCACCCTTCTTTGGATACTTGTTCTAATGCAAGGCTTTAAAATTGAAGGAGAGCAAAATACCTTTTGCATTTGATTTTATTTTAAATTTCTTACTTACGCTATACTTAAAACTACAAGTTAGGTATCAGTTCATAAAATTTGGTTGAAAATGTTTCTATTTTGGAGTTGTATCGTACAGTGTGAAGGCATTGCAAACATACTAGATTCATCAAGAAAAAAGTAATAAATAACTCCATTTCCCCATTTTAATTGTAGAATCATGTCTTTCTTCTCTTTTGTAAGGATATAGGTAGATGACATTTAGGATTATAGAATGATAAAATGGAGAATGGAAATGGGATTGGCTCTTTAATTTTCATTTGCTTTTGTATTTTCCCTGGGGCTGACGAGAGCCTTAAAAATAGCTTTGAGGCTATTTAGTCTTCAAGAATAAGACTTCTCATGGAAGTTTAAAGTATCATCCCTTTTCAAGAAGATAGTGTGGAAAGCGAAGAATGAGCCCTCTCCCTCCCCTCACCACCACCGTTCCAAAAGCTGAAGCAAAAAGCAAAAGCATTGGAGGCCAAGAAAGACATTCAGGGCCACACACAAAACGGATTTGTACCTCACCTACCTGTCTGGGATCCACGATTCTGTCCAAATATCTTAAGAGTACCCCCAGATAAACAAATTGATTCAATATGCCTTCATCAGATTCCCTCAGGCCACTGAGCCATCATGAAGAAAATAGCAGTCAGGCATCAGAGCTCATTAGCACCTGATTTAAGAGATTGTAAAGAATCTGATCACCCCCCTGGTCAGACCTGATGGAGAGAAGGCCTATGTTTGACTGACTCCTGTCATCTCTTGTGGAGGTCGCCAACAAAATTAGAATCATCTTAACTAAGTTATGGGGCCAGACACATAGTCCATAGGTAAGGCACTTGCCTTGATTGCGCTGATCCTGTTTGTATTCCATGATAGCTCAGATTGCCCCCTGAACAAGAGGGTCACTCCTGAGCAGCTAGCGCGTAAGTTCCTGAGGACTGCCAGATGTGGTCCCAGAACTGAAAAATAAAGATTTAACAACAGCCAAAAATCAGAGGCAGAGATCTGAGATATAATACGAGGGTGAAGACACTGGCCTTGCACAAGGCCAACCCATCTTTCAGCCCCTGAGCAGTACCAGTAATGATCCCTGAGCACAGAGCCAGAGGTAAACACCAAGCACAGCCAAGTCTGGCCCCAAAGGAACAAGAAAAACGAGCCCATCTAGAAAATTCTAAACACATGTTTATTTTTTCACCACAAATAAATGATAAAATTATAATCAAAGCAACTTTTTTGAGTGTTGGTTTTTGGAGCTACACCGGGTTGTGCTCAGGGTTTATTATTTTTGGCTATGAGCTAACTGGACCATTGGGTGCTGAGGAGTGGGCCAGGGCACTGCAAGAAGCAAGAAGCACCTTACACATTGTACTACTGCTCCAGCCCTTAAAGCAACTTTAAAATTTATGTTATCTTTAACTCTTGGTGCAAATATATTGATTTTTAATGAACAATATTCCTTCAAGAGAAGTCTGAGACTACCCTGCAAGGTTCTTCGTGCTGACACCTGAATTTTGGGACAAAACCAGGGCCACACATCACCTATACAGATATTCCAAATTTGACACACATGCAAGCATTTAGTTTCCTTTTTAATTAAGAAAAAAGTACAGGGTCTAAAAATAATTAAGATATAAAAATAAAAAGAAAAAAGAATAATTAAGATACAAAAATGGAAAAAGAAAAAGGTCTAAGAATAAGAATAATTCATTTTAAGTATTGATGGAGAACATAAATAAGTTATACTCGTACTTTTTTACTTTTAATGTAATGAAAATTATTTTTGTTTTTTTAACTAAAAATTTTCACGTTATGTTTATATTGTAGAGGCACAGCTTGTCCTGAGCAGTACTCAATAGTTTTATATCAAAACTAAAACTAGAATGAATATTGATGTCAAGAAGGATGGTAGTTCTGCTGTGGCCACTGTGACCTTCAGGGCAGACAGAGAATCCACTCTGAATTGAAATTACTGCACATTTAATTATCATCTTCCTTTGCCCCTCTCCTCTAGTCCCTAGAGGCAAGATATGGCAAACAAAATGATACCTCCCATATAAGTGACTTTTTAATCTCATATTACCTAGCATCTCCACCACTCACCAAAAAAGTTCAATAGAAGCATTAAATATAATTTTATATTCACGGTTTTAAAATGTAGAACTCAAGATATTCTGGAACTATACATTACCAAAATTGACTGAGATGGCATAGGAGATCTTAATAGAATAAGCATATAAGGTATTCAAAGATCTGTACATAAAATGGCTTCTAGATTTTACAGATCAGTTTTACAAAAATGCCTAATGGTAAATAATTCCCTTTTACATAGAATATGAAAAAGGATAGGAGAAGGTGTGGAGAATTCAGTTTATTCTTTGAAGTTGGTATAATCCCTAGAATTCTTGTAACTTTTTCTAAGTCTTGATAATGAATGACAGCTCAAAATAGAAAGGAATAGCAATTTATATTTTTTGCACACATAGTTCTTACATATAAATATCTAAAAGACACTGTCACTGTCCTCCCATTGTTCATCGATTTGCTCAAGCGGGCCCAGTAACATTGTGAGATTTGTTACTGTATTTGGCATATTGAATACATCACGGGGAGCTTGCCAGGCTTTGTCATGGGACGAGATACTCTCAGTAGCTTGCCGAGCTCTTTGAGAGGGGCGGAGGAATCGAATTTGGTTGGCCATGTTGGCTGCATGCAAGGCAAACACCTTACCTCTGTGTTATCACTCCAGCCCTGTAGAAGACAAGATAATGGAAAACAAGGTGAAGAATAGGAATAGACAATAATGTTACAATTCATTATATTCACACAAGATAGTATATATATATTATCTTTGCAGTATCATAATATTGACTAAAATAAAAAATGATCAATCAATCAATACCCAATTTTAATGAGGATGCAGGAAAACACAGCTTAATGGTGGTGATAGGTTAAATTTGTAAAAGTACTTTGGAGAAATTAGCAAAGATAAATGTTGCTATCTTATGGTTTCCAAATTCTAATTAAATGAATCTTCCCTATGGATATTCTCATATAAATCTACTTGTACGTGGTATTTACCAAAGCATGTTTTTTAACAGTTAATAATCGCAGAAGGTAATTCAGTAATTTAAATAAGAAAATGGAGTATAATCACAATATATAAAACCAGTCACTAGAAAGAATGTAGTAGAGCCCAAATTAAGTTTATGTTGTGAAATGAGATATATTATATATATATACATATATATATTTATACTTTTTATTCTCTTGTTTTGGGGCAATACCCTACAGTTCTCAGGGTTTATTCTGGTTATTATACTCATTTTGTGCTCAGGGATCACTCATGGAGGGGTCAGGGGACCATATGTCGGGCCAGGGATTGAACCCAGGTCAGCCATGTTCAAGGGAAGTACACTATCTGCTACTCTTTGGCTCTGGACGCATATGAAATATATCCTTAATTAAAATGATAGAAGTAGAAAACTGTGACTAGTGTTTGCATTTATTTTTAAAAGTAGATGGACATGAAATTATATAGATATATGTATGTTTATAAGTTTATAAAGAGACTTGACAGATTTATTCTAAACATTAACATGTTTTTTCCTGTGGATGAAAGTCACTGGATAGGATGTAAAGAAAAATTTACATCC